ATTCACTGGGGTAGGCTTCAATAATTGGAAGAAGGCGAAAGAAAGATTTAACCTTCATGTGGACCGGTTGGTAGTGTTCACAACCAAGCTAGAGAAGTTGCTTACAATTTGATGCATCAAACTACACACATTGAAACAATTGTGATCAAGCAAACAAGCCAAGCTCGCACGACTTATCGCACTTGCTTGAATGCATCACTTAAGTGCACTAGGTCTTTGTTGCGACAATGTCTTTCTTTTCGTGGTCATGATGAAAGTGCACAATCAAGTAATAAAGGGAATTATTTAGAGCTCTTGCAATTTCTTGCGGATCATGATGAAAAAGTTAAGGCCGTTGTATTGGAAAATGCTTCAGGAAATTTAAAGTTAATAGCTCCTTCAATTCAAAAAGATCTTGTCAATTCTTGTGCTAAAAAAAACCATTGGTCTTATCTTGAGTGATGTAAAAGATAGATATTTTTCAGTAATGGTGGATGAAGCACGTGATGTTTCAATAAAGGAGCAAATGGCAATGGTGCTACGTTATGTGAACGACAAATGACAAATAATTGAAAGGTTTGTGGGGGTTCAACATGTAACCGACACTACTTCAAGTGCACTAAAGGAAGCCATTGATGAATTCTTTTCTTCTGCAAATTTGAGTTTTTTCAAGTTACGAGGACAAAGTCATGATAGAGCTAGTAATATGAGAGGTGAGTTCAATGGCCTTAAGACAAAAATTTTGAGAGAATAACCTTGCGCATTTTATGTTCATTGTTTTGCTCATCAACTTCAACTAGCCCTTGTTGCGGTAGCAAAGAAAAACATTGATGTCAACTCTTTTTTCACAACGACTAGTAGTTTGGTTAATGTTGTTGGAGCATCTTGTAAGCGTTGCGATGCACTCAAGGATTGAAATATCGGCCGATACACCGATATATCTGCCGATATATCGGTATTTTCAACTGTCGACACCGATACAGGGGGTAAGGCCATATCTTCCCCTATATTGACGATATATCCCCGATAAGTGCGATATCCTTGATATTTTGCTAATATCCTCGATATTTCCCGATACCCATAACAGAACCCAAAAAAAATTTAGAAGTTTGAAGGCAATTGAAGCAATTGAAACCCAAAAATAACTAATCCTTGCCTAGAACCTTATAATTTATTAATATGAAAAATTTATGCACAGTCCACTGCCCACATATCTCCAATCTATCTGAAGAGGACATAACGATCAGTTTTGGATCTATGAGCATAGGAACTAGACCTAGTACTAACTCAAACGAATCTTTATGATGACTATGGTTATGACATGTCTGATTATAGTGGAACTAGTTATGGAGCTCAATATGATAAAAAAGTTTATGAACCTACTAGTTGGTTAATCCTAACTATCCCATATATGGGAGGACAATAGGGAGCTCAAGAGAGACCTATGTGCACCATGTTCAAACATGGCTTATAAACTACTCGAGTTACAAGACTTGGTATGACTATTGTATGAATCTAGATGGTTGTTAATCAGTGTTTGAACCTCATAGGAGCTTTTCATTTATGTAGATGGACGTTTATCTAAATTGTAATCCAATGTTTAAACAAATATGAATTTATGCATAGTTTATTTATTGTAATCAACATTTTATTTTCAAATTTTCATTAACGTGCATTACATACCACTTATATTTCATCATATGTATATCTTATTATTAGTAAATTTTGAGTTTCATTTGTTCAATACATTCATTGATAATGCACATAACATTTATGAAAGTTGTACACCAAAATTATTTGTTTCAATGCCTATATCTATCATTTTTGTTGATTTTTCCCGATACCTAAAACGATAACGATATATCCCCCGAAATATCCATAAATTGGAGGCCCGATATTATCTGCATGGCCGATATTTTAATCCTTGGATGCACTTAGAGTACAATACCAAGAAGAGCTTGTGAGAGCTTTTGAAGATGATTGTCTTATAACGGGGCGGGGCTTAAATCAAGAAACTACTCTCAAACGTGCCGACGATACACGATGGAACTCACATTATGGTACATTGATTAGTATCATTTCTATGTTCCCATCTATGGTGATTGTGCTTCAAATGATTGTTCATGATAATCCTAATAATAGTTCAAGTGAAGCCTATAAGTTATGGAGAGAAATACAATCTTTTGAGTTTGTGTTTCACTTATTTTTAATGAAAGCTATATTGGGAATAACAAACACTTTGTCTCTAGTATTGCAAAAGAAAGATCAAGACATTGTGAGTGCAATGAGTTTAGTGAAAACATGCAAGGAAAACCTGCAGTTGGTGAGGGATAATGAGTTTGAAGAATTGGTTAAGCAAACATCTTTGTTTTGTTACAAACATGATATTACAGTTCCTACCATGGATGAGGAATATATAATTCCAGGGAGATCACGGCGTAATGCTCCAATGAAGACAAATTATCATCGTTATCGTGTGGAGATCTTTATTCATGTAATTGATGGGCAACTTGCGGAATTAAATGATCGTTTCAACGAGGTAAATACTGAGTTACTTACTTGTTTAGCATGCTTGAGTCCAAAAAATAACTTTGTAGCTTTTGACAAACGAAAACTAGTTCGTCATGCTCAATTTTATCCTTATGATTTTTCAGATAGAAACTTATTGATGCTTGAAGATCAACTTGGTGTTTATGTTCATCATATGCATTCGAGTAGTGATTTTTCTCAATTGGAAGGAATTAGTAGTCTTGCTGAAAAAATGGTGGAGAAATGAATGCATGAAATATTTCCTTATGTGTATTTGCTTGTTACATTGGCTCTGGTTTTACTGGTTGCAACTGCTTCAGTGGAGATGGCATTTTCCACCATGAATATTATTAAAAATCCACTTCACAACAAAATGGGAGATCAATGGTTGAATGATAGCTTGATTGTTTACATTGAGAGAGATGTTTTTGCTTGCATTGATAACGAAACTATAATGCAACGTTTTCAAAATATGAAAACTCGTCGTGGACAATTGTAACTTGTATTATTGGTTTTGTTATGAATTATGAATAGAAGTACAATCTTTCTATCTTTTTAGCATTATTTTCTTTGTAGAAAAATTTCAGAACTTTTACACTAAGCCCCTTTGCCCACATAATCCTGGATCCGCCACTGTTTGTCTTGAGATTGATGGTGACCAAGAAGAGATGAGCATGAGAATTTGAAAAGGTAATCAAATTTATGAATTTTTCTTTATATTTTTTCCTATCTAGCAAACTATTTTTTCCCACCCAATAAAAATTGATTTAGGAACAAAACACTAAAACAGAGCAACCCCTCTATCCAATATTCAATTTCCAATAAGAACAAAACACAGAGAGACCCGTAACATACTCACTCACACACAAACCCATAAAGTAGTTCTCGTTTCTTAAATAATAATAATAATAATAACATGAGTTATGAATTCTTTCTATTTTCTTTATATATTTTTATATTCTAATTTTGAATTGCATGTATTTTAATTATTTTTTTATGTAGCAGTCTTTGTGAGGAAAGGCTCCCTTATGGTCTCTGTTGAGTCTTGTTCTTGCTTTTCCTTTCTCAAATTGCTTTTCGGGCTTGGCCTCTATCTTTTGTAGGTGGTTTGTAATGCTTCTCTTTATTGGTTTAATGAGCATCTTTCGACTAAAAAAAAAGCTACTTGAGAATTTTTGTTAAATAATAGGTTGGTTTGTTGAATGTTAGATGCTATTTGACTATGTATGGACCTACATATGATTTTTGTTCTTCATAGTTCATGTACTTTGCTTTGTTAGAATGAAATTATTATGTTTAAACTAAGGGTTGGCATGGTCTAGTTTGATCCGGTTCTCACCCAAATTGAACCCAAACTATTCATACGGGTTATAAAATTGAACCACAAGCCTATTTGGTTTTCGGTTTTTCCAGTTTTGGACAAGAATCTTTTTCTTTTTAATTTTTACAAAATTCAACTAAAATTTTATTTCTCAGGACTTAAAAATTCACAAATGGCCCAATTTCATGCAAAGAGATGTGATTTAGAATTGAACTTAGGAAAAGATTAGTTATGGACTTAGAAATTTAGCATTGGGCTTAAATATTTAAAAAATATATTTAAAAAAATACATAGCCGGTTTGGTTTTTTCACTACAAAAACCATAATCAGAACTAGACCAAATTGGTATGGTCTGGTTTTTGGTCAACCAGGTTTTTTAGACCAATTCGGCTCTCGGTTTTTTGGTTGGAATACCCACCCCTTAGTTTAAACCAAAATGAATGAATAAGGAAAAAAATATTCCTTTCTTATTTAGCTTTATTACATACTAAGGGAATGGACCTCATTTAATTTATCGCCTAGAACCACCCAAAAGTGAGAACTGGCCTGATTAGTATTAGATTGTTAATTGCTTATGATTAGTAACAAACAAACCTCGTCCTTCCTCTCAATTTTGCAAAAAATGATGATGAAATGTTTGGTAAAAACATAATCTGTTTTTTTTTTTTTTTTTTTAATTTGGAATGCTTCCAACTTAATTATCACCTTCCCTTATGGGGTTGACGTTACATATCCAACAAAAGCACCTGCTAAAAATACTAAATATACAACAGAATAGGTACTACTTCGGCAAAGTTGTTGAGCAGAGCAAGAATCTCAATTTTGTTTACCAAAAATGTGTTTGATTGAAAGAACCTCTCCATCCTTACACTCTAAAATGGTTCAATTAGATTATTGCATGCATTTTATTTTCTTTTTTTTTCTAAAACACTCTCAAACCACTAAAAACACATGGAGAGAAGATTGTTCGACCCAAAAAAAATACATGGAGAGAAGATTGTGAAATATGTTTTAAAGTGGTTTTAGGAAGTTAAAGAAAAAAAAAACATCAAAGTCAAGAACTACCAACATTTAATTACAAAAAAAGTGTAATTTAGCAAATAAAAGAGTTTTTGCACCCAAAGCAACAAACACTATAGCACCCTTCAACCCTTGGCCCCATGATTGCCCAGAAACAGAAAGTCCCTTCAGTGAAAAAACTCGGCCATTTAAAATGGCTGAAGCTGCCTCATATGCCCCTGTCCTGTTCACCTAAACTTCCTTTTGTCCATTTCCCATAATTTCCTCAACCCTTGTAAATTCAAGCTCCTATCTTTCTTTCATTGCCAAGCTGTTTGCTTTTTGAACTCAAAGCTTGGAGCTTTTCTCCCATGGCTGCTTCCTCAGTCACTGTCACATACAATTTCGGCCAAAAAACTTCACTTGCTCGAAAACCCATCTCCAAAACAACCCCCTCTTCTGTTTTAGCTTCCTCAACAGCAACCCACCTGAAGAAGAAGAGATGGAATGTTCTGCGCTTGGTTATGGAAAAGAAAACAGAGAAGGATCATAAACTACAAGTTAAGATCAAAGCCTTAGAAGAGACGAACACAGAGAGGTGGACTGTGATAACGCCACGTGTGGCAGAGAGACTGGAGAGAAAGAGATCAGAAAGAAACACCTACCTTGTTGCTGCAATCATGTCCAGCCTGGGAGTCACTTCAGCTGCCGCGATGGCTGTATATTACAGATTCTCTTGGCAAACAGAGGTAATGAAAATTAATTAAATTCTATTTCTTTATGTATTTGTTGTTTTTCTTGAGACGGGTTTTGATCAATTTTTTATCAAACAGTTTGGAGAATATATCCTTCCTGAAATGCTGGGTACATTTGCTCTCTCTGTGGGCTCTGCTGTAAGTAATGGATTATGAAAACCATGGCGATTTCATTTATGGGAAATCTTTGTTTTCCATGGAAGATCAAAAATTTGAATTGTTTGCTTTGTGTTTGTTTCAAAGGTGGGCATGGAGTTTTGGGCAAGGTGGGCTCATAGAGCTTTGTGGCATGCTTCACTGTGGCATATGCATGAGGTCAGTTTTATATATAATTTCCAATTCTAATCTAAATTTTCACAAGGAAGATTGGTTTTGAGGATCTTTTAATTTTGTTTGATGATTTGCAGTCTCATCACCAACCTAGGGATGGCCCTTTCGAGCTCAACGATATCTTTGCCATAATCAATGTTGTTCCTGCAATTGCTCTTCTCTCTTATGGTTTCTTCAACAAGGGTTTGTTTCCAGGACTCTGTTTTGGTGCTGTAAGTATTTCACAAATATATAAATAATATATATATACACACAAACTAGCCCGTTGGCACATGCTCACACATGTGCCAATTGGTTTTTATTTTTTATTTTTTTTATTTTTTGAATTAAGAAAAGATAACATGGGTAGTTATGTTCCATAAAAGTAACAACTATTATTTGATTTTGTTTTTAATTTTAATTTTTTTAATATGAAAAAATGTGAATTTACTATATTATCCTCGTTTAATTAATAATTTCAATTCTTAATGTTTGAATTAATCAATGGTATTTTCTGATATTTTGAGTATTTCACAATTCTCTACTTTTTGCTTTATATATATACCTCAATATTCTCACCCTCTTCTTTTCCGCTCTTTCCCAGCTGGCAAATAGACCACATTCTCAAAAGTTCAAAGCTTAATACTTCCACGGCAAAGATGATGAGAATAAAACCAAACGGGTATTGAAATTTTGAACTGAATTCAGAGGTTTTAAGGTTCAAACCTCTAATAGGAGCGGCCCATGTCCGGCCTTCGATGCGCTTGATACCATAAACCAGCAACGAAGCCCATGGCTGGTGCATAGTCAAACATGGGTTTCTGTAATTCCCAGAAGAATGCCCTCTTCTCATTTCTGCTTCTTTGATTCTTCAGAAGGGACAGGCAGTTTGATTCTCTCGCTGCTAATTGTTTCCGAGAATCTCCGATAAACTTATTAGTTACGGGAATGATTTTGATGAGTCAATAATTAGGAAAGCCTTCTTTTTTCGTGTTTTGTTTTTGTATGCTTATTTTTTGGTTTTAACCTATAGTTTTGTTTTTTTGTTTTTTGGTTTTTTTTTTATCCTTTTGGTTTTTAACCTGTTCAATATTCTTTTTATGATATATTTATTAATTCGTAATTGGAATTAAACAGAATTAAATTGAGAATGAATTGAATTTAAAATAATTTAAAATTCAATTATACTGTTTATTAAACTATATATAATCGAGATAAAAAATGGTATTGATTAAATTATTTACTAAATTATCATGAGGTGGGGGATGGTTTGGTCCCTGGGGTGGGATTTTGGGCTGGAACTTATGCTCATGATAAACTCTTTTTCTCTGAAATGGGGTGGGCTACTTGTTTTTGTCATGGATATGTGACATAACTGTTCTTGTTTGTTGGTTTAATTAGCCCACTCAGATGAGGTGATGGTGAAAGCATCCTAGTATGAAATTAAATGCTTAGCCCGAGGGTACCACCTTACTAGTGAATGGTGTAGTTATTTAAAAGAAGGAATTCTTTCTTACCTATGAGCCGTTGCATCTTTTCGTGCAGGAACATATTTGCACGATGCTTGGCCGATGGTGAAATCTGCTTTAGAAGAGTATGATATTTCATGCAGATTGAATTTGGTATGTCCTGATAAATGTTGTTTTTTGAGAAATGTTGAATTTGTAAATATGAAATATTGATATTTGGGAAATCTATTCTTGATTGATCGGGGGTCAATTCAAATTATGTACGATTGGATGCAAACACTAACTTGTTCTACTTTTTAATCATGGTCAGGTTTTTGGTTACATAACAATCAAAACATCCAGGACAACTGACCCAGATATTATTGTCAAGGCCAAGCAGCTTGTTGAACTCTTGGCGATACATATTCCTGTACATCAGGTACAAATGGTAGTCCTTTGTTATTCTTTCTCATCTGCATCCTATGAGCTATACTGTGGTTTGAGGAAGCTGCCAAGGCAGTACGGTATTTATTTTTGCAGTTTCAATGCGACTCTCATCTCCTTGAAGGCAATAGCATGCTATTTATATTGGTTGCTTTCAAGTGAGGATGTATTTAGGGTTATTGTTGTTATATTATTATTGCAGAGGAAGCTTAATTGCACCGACTAATGTTGAGGTTGTATGGCACACGTTGATGCATGTGTCGATTGGTTTTATTTTTTATTTTATATTTTATTTTTAGTATTAAGAAAAAATAACATGAGTAGTTATGTTCCATAAAAGTATGACTTATTATCTGATTTTGTTTTTAATTTTAATATTTTTAATATACAAAATGTAATTTACCATATTATCCTTATTTAATTAATAATTTAAATTTTTAATGTTTGACTTAATCAATGGTATTTTCTGATATTTTGAATATTTCACAATTCTCTACTTTTTGCTTTATATATATATATATACATATAAAATAATTTACCTGTACTTAATCGATAACATCAATGGTACTGTAGATTCATATCCGGTATCAGTCAATCATTTTCTTATGTAAGAAAAACTAGAAAAATAGTTAGTTAACCAAGTTTTTTTGTTTGTTTGTTTTGGGTACAGGGATTAGGAATAACAACTTTTGGGATGGCCTACATGTTTGTGCATGATGGTCTTGTGCACCGTAGATTTCCAGTTGGGCCAATCGCAGACGTCCCTTATTTACAAAAAGTTGCTGCAGCCCATTATGTAAATTACTCTGACTTTCTTTGCCCATTTTTTGTTCTTGACATTGCCATTCTTTTTGGGTTTTGATTATTTCTTGTGAATTTGAATAGCTTCATCACTCTTGCATATTGAATGGAGTGCCATATGGGTTGTTCTTGGGACCTAAGGTTAAATATTCAAGCCTCTCTTGCTTTGAAACAAAGGTTCTTAATTTCCAATGAAGTAGTAATTGTTTGATATGATGTATGTAGGAAATAGAGGAGGTCGGGGGCATTCAAGAATTGGAGAAGGAAGTCCAGCGCAGAACTAAGAAATCCAAAAGTTGATATTGTTTTTTTGAATTTTCTGAATTTTTAAATACTAGTGATTGCTTCATTTTGTCGAAGCTCGTAGAAAAGGGAGGAGTGAGAGACTTCTTCAAACGAGCAACCGCAGACGTGCAAGAAACTGCTCAAGGACAAATCATGTCGACGTGTAGGAACCTATCCACCATCAAAATTGACTAAAAGCTCCTAAAAATGTAAATCTTATTAAGAAAATTTCAATACTTAAAATTCTTTGTTCTTCAATCATCTCATCCAAAGAACACCGATGCATAATAAGATGTGAAGCTCAAGTAACTATTTGTCTAGTAGTATTTCTATTCTCAAATCTCGCTTAGGTCGTTGATTAACAAAACTTAGATAATAATTATTGTTGTAAAACAATCAGAATAAAACCACAATAACAGACTAATAAAAACGAACCAAATATATTTTATATAAATAGAATTGAATCAAAACAACGGTAATACAAATTGTGGGGTACTGACTTGAATTGTAGATAAAGTCCTATAGAGTTGCAGTGTCCTTTAGACAGTATTTCTCCTCTACCCTTGTGTTTGAAGTTCGATAGGAGTCTGTCCACCAGGATTAAACTATCTTGAATCAAAGTCTAAGCACAGTGGCTTTGATTTTTGGCGAACAGTAGTATGAATTCTCTCAGGAAGTGTTAAAAATGTGAGAATGATAATGCTGTTCAAAGGTATTTTTCTGGTTTGAACGTATTGTCAATATATAGAGGTCTGACACTTCTTCATCCAACAATTATGTTAACTGTTTAACTGATTCGAATATCATATTTTGGTATTATCTGAAAAAATGAATTTTTAATTAATAAAAAATAAATTATTAATTAAATCAACAGAGCCCAAGGCCCATTTTTTGACAATTATTATATATATATTTATTACACAAATATATATGGAAAATACTAGAGGCACCAACTCTCTAATAAAGCGTGGGTCCCGGTGTATTGGCGGGCCCCACCTCTATTAGAGAGTTGGTGCCCAAAGTTGGTGCCTCTAGCACCACCCAATATATATATAGTCCAAGCCCAAACCATGATGAGGCCCAACTTTGCCTCCACTATGTCCATACTCTATTTAGTATTTCTAAAGTGTTGGTGCTTATAAATCATGGAAGGAACCAACTCCCTTCTAATGTGGGACTAAATGCAAGTGTATTTTTCTATACAAATTCTAACAATTATAAAATCCTGTCGGTACATGCATGCATGAATTGTAAGTAATGTGGCCTATGTTTAGGTCACATGAATATTGTTTCTACATTTTTTTAAATGCTAAGTCGTTTCCCATCATGTTAAGATTTTGAAATCCAAAGTAACCTAACAATTCGTACAAGCTTAACTTAAACGGTCTACCAAACTAAAAATTATAGTTATTTATCACAAGCTGCCATCTATTGAACTATTATCATAAATTTGATCAAATGAAATCTAATATACAAGTGAGTGGCTCTACTAACACCAACGAGGCCTTTTATGATAAAACGTATACTACTATCTGCTTGGACTTTACAGGTGATCAAGTTGGACTTTACATATGTGAGAAGTAGTTGTAATTGTTTGGCAGAAGATTGTAACTTCATGGAAATTAACATCCTTGTTGTATATTACACTACTACATTTTACTATTTGCGCGACGAAGACAAATTCGTTGCGCAAGAATCACTGATGCGACGGACGAACATATTCGTCGCGCGAAACTACAAACTTTTGCGCGACGCAAAATTTTGTCGCGCAAAGATACTTTGAGCTACAAAATAACAAATCGTCGCGCAAAGTGCGGAAGAAAACCCGGGAATTTTTTTTTGGCGCCAAACATTTGCGCGACGATATATTTCGTCGCGCAAGATTCCATGGCGCGACGGTCACCTTTTTCGTCGCGCAAAAGTGGATAGGGAACACTGCGATACAGATTTTTTGGCGGGAAACTCTTGGGCGACGGAAATGTGTTCGTCACGTAAAGTGCGATGTCAGCAAGTTCTCGGGCGACGGAAATTTGCGTTTGCGCGACGCCGTTTAATGTTTGCGCGACGAATAGTTACGCGACGAAGTGTATTCTTTCGTCGCGCAAAATTCCGATGTTGACAGGTCTTTGCGTGACAAAAAATGGTTATTTTATGCGACGAAAAAGTTGTTTTGCGCGAACGATATTATGCGCGGCGAAGTGTACTCGTTCGTCGCGCAAAATTCTGATGTTGACAGGTCTTTGAGCGACGAAAAATGGTTATTTTATGCGACGAAAAAGTTGTTTGTGTGACGATATTTTGTGCGACGAAACAGATACTTCTTCACGCAAACTTCTTCTTTTACATATCTGCATTTCGCTATTGCAGAGTCAGAAATGCAAAGAAAATTTTGAAAAATCTGTATGTGCTGTGCTGCGTGCTGTCTCTGCTGGGAATTCAATACGCTCATTGGGTAAATATTATTTGTCGTTTATTTAAAAGTATTAATGTAAATTCGTACTAACAGTATTAATTTTGTTCTCATTATAAACATCTGTAATTTGCTATTGTGGAGAACGATTGAGAAGGTATGTTATTCATTTTATATTACATTATTTACATTATGTTGAACTTAGTTTGTTATAGTTATATTTTTTGTTGTGAAATTATATTTATATTTTGTTGTTAAATTATGCGTGTCATAGGACAATGTGGTGTGATGTACGAAGTTAATTGAAATTAACTTTGTACTTTTATTATTATTTTTTAGTAACACTTAGTTTCTCGTTCGAGATTAGTTGGATTTCGTGCATGGATGCATAAAGCATGACTATGGTCCAATTAATTCTTGAATTGTCCCATTATTTGGACAGTTTGGTAATGTATAGTGTTGTCACGTAATCTACGGCTACATGATTAGGTTTTGATTGTGGAGATTTCGGTGTCATCTCGGTACGTTCTTCGGGTGGTACGTAGGTATTTATACCTATGGCCACCTCAAGAACTGTATTGAGATGCTGGCGAAATTCATCTCGAAATCTAATCTCATGTAGCCGTAGGTTACGTGGCAGGACTATGCATTCCCGAATGGGATAGGGCCCTTACCGGAGGCAGAAGGTGACATTATAACTTTGTATGAAGTTGTTGTGATTGTTGTGTTGTGATTCTGATTTTAGGAATTATGTACAGAAGGTGGATACATAACCCGAACAGATGCGCAGACAAATACTTGGATGGAATCGAGGATTTTATTGAGTTTGCACGTAGACACAACCCGGGTGCAACTAGAATCCGTTGTCCTTGTAGGAGGTGTAACAACACGTTGTGGGAGACAATTGAAAATGTTGGATTTCATTTAGTAAGGAATGGAATGATTGAGACATATAGCATTTGGAACCTTCACGGGGAACAATTAGAGCATGCTTCATCTTCAAATGCCACAAGAGTGGACAATGTTGAACCTATTGTGGATGCGAATGATCAAGTTATGGATGCGAATGATCAAGTCATGGATATTATACAGGATGTTTTTCCATTTGTATCGACCAACATCAATCAAGAAGAGGAAGATGACATGCCTACACCAATAAACAATGGGGAGTTTGAACAATATGAAAAATTGTTAAAAAATGCCAACCAAGAGTTATACCCGAGGTGCGAAAGCTTTTCTGTTCTCACGGCCATTGTGGAGCTAATACGCGGAAAAATAAAGTATCGTATGTCGAACCTGTGTTTCGATTACTTTTTGGGGGTTTTCAAGAGAATGCTTCCGACGGACAATTGTTTGCCGAAAGACCATAAACACGCGCAGAAGGTGTTGAATGGTCTGAGATTGGGTTATGAAAAAATTCATGCTTGCAAAAACAATTGCATGTTATTATACAAAGAGCATCAATCGTTGGATACATGTCCTATATGCAATGAGTCGAGGTTCAAAATGACACATCAGAATAGGACGACTAAGATCCCACAAAAAGTCATGTGTTATCTACCCCTGAAACCTAGGTTGCAACGATTGTATATGTCGACGCATACTGCCATAGACATGAGATGGCATAAGGAAAAACGGGTAGACGATGATGTCATGCGACATTCTGCAGATGGGGAGGCATGGAAAAAGTTCGATCGAACGTTCCTCGAGTTTGCTGCTGATCCCCGAAATGTTAGATTGAGACTTGCCACTGACGGATTCAATTCGTATGGGGTTCTAAACCAACACCACAGCACTTGGCCGATTTTCGTATTCCCATATAATTTGCCGCCTTGGAAATGCATGAAAAAAGAATAAATGATGATAACTGTTTTGATAACTGAGGATCCTGGCAGGTCAATCGATGTTTACTTAAGGCCACTGGTTGATGAGCTGAAGGATTTATGAACAAACGGTGTTCGCACGTACGATAAATCAACTGGGAAGATGTTCACTTTGCGGGCAGTAGTTATGTGGATTGTGAATGATTTCTCAGCATATGCAATGGTTTCTGGGTGGAGCACAAAGGGTTATATGGCATGTCCTATATGCAAGGAAGATGTAACTTCTGGTTGGCACACTGGAAAAGTTTGTTACCATGGTCATCGGAGATGGTTGCCATGGGACCACGAGTGAAGGGAAAAAGATAAAGAGTTCGACGGGAACACAGAGCGTCGCCTCAGACCTAGAGAATGGTCCGGTGATGAGATATTGGACCAGCTTAACCGATTGGATTTTGCTTTGCTCGGGAAAACAGTTAGTCGGATCAGACCTTCTACACATATGAATTGGATGCACAAGCCTATGTTTTTTGAGCTCCCATATTGGTCGAAACTCAAATTGAGGCACAATCTAGATGTGATGCATGTTGAGAAAAATGTATTCGACACATTGGTGGGTACGATTCTAGATATCGAGGGCAAGACAAAGGACACGATCAAAGCTCGTCTTGATTTGGAAAGAATGGGCATACGAAGGGGTTTATCAATGAATAGGGACAGTGATAAAGCTAGAAGGGATCTTGCATTCTTTTCTATGAAACCGAATGACAAGAAAGAGTTTCTAAAGTTTGTATCGTCTGTACAGTTTCTCGATGGGTATGCTTCTAATATCGCACGTTGCGTTAATGTTGACGGGGATAAATTTACTAGACTTAAGAGCCATGACTGCCATGTATTTATGCAACGCCTACTTCCTGTGGGTATTCGACACCCATTGCCGGAAGATGTAGTGAAGCCAATCATTTTGTTGTCCAGATGTTTTTCCTAACTGACGGCAAAAACATTGTGAAAGA